CATAATAAAAATGAAAAAATACTATATTTTTTGGATAAAGTGATTACAAATTATATGATTTTTTTAAAGGAATTTGTTTTTAAGGTCTTGATATTAAAATTTTTTAAGATAAATGAAATATAATATTTTCATAGTAGTTAAGGTCTCTTAACATTTTCATAGAGAAAATTCAACTTAGAGAAATTATTCTCAACTTAGAAAAATCTGACCTCGACTTAGAGAAATTTCAAAATTTCTCTGTGATCATAACAAAGAAATTTCAAAATTTATCTGTGAAAATTGAAATTTCCTTGAGTCGAAGCCGAATTTTTTTTTAAGAATGACGAAATTTCTATGAATTGGGCAAAATCTTTTTGAGTCAATTTTCTATGTGAAAATGTTAAAGGACCTTAACTAATAAAAAAGAATATCTTGGACCTCTCCTACTACACAAACTTGGAGAGAGATGTTTCACTAATTTTCTCTTTTTTTAAAAAAAATATATATAAATCTATGCACAGAAGCCTCTAAAATAGGAAGAATAAAAAAGTTTAGAAGAACAAAAATCGATCATGGAATTGGACATCATTCTTTCACATGAGAGGGGGTCATACATTCTTGTAAGTTTCACGAATATCAGAGGATTGTATTTGATTTTTTAATTAATTTCCAACAAAAAAAAAAGAAAAAGATTTTTACTGGCCAGTCCTGCTTTTTATAATTATTCCCCTCTTAGTCTTCAAGATTGGTCTTATGCACCAATAAGTCCTGGAGCTCTATTTTTTGTACTGTTTTACCCCTGTTTTGTTTTCCCTGCTTTTGCCGTTTTTTCTGTTTGCTTTTTGCCATCAAAATACTATGATGTGAGTTTGGGTTTGGGTTTTCAGTCCATATATATATATATATATATCTAGAAAATACCACCACTGTTGTCGTTGTAATGGCTATGGTCATCCATCCACCACCACCACCACCACTGTCACCGTCGTCTATCACTGACCACCACCACCTTCACCGGCAACTACCACCACCATCGTTCACCAACCATCTCCACCGTTGCCGATCTATACTTCACCAGCTCCAATTCACTGCCACTATTTACCAACCACCTTCACCATCACCGATATACAATATGTCATCGCCGATCTATACTCCGTCCTAGATCTACATTGATCTAGTTGTTTCTACTATGAAATCAACTTCAAACGACTACAAGCAACATTGATTCTCCAAATCTCACCTCCCTCCCTCTCTCCCTCCCTCTTTATTTCTCTCAAACCAAATCTGTTACAAACAAGGGTTTAACATATCAATGATAAATTTATCACTAATATATGTCTTTGAATCATATGTTGATTTGTTACGATGATGATGAAATTTTCTTTTTGTAATTTTTTAACAAACAGTCAGTGAGAAATTTATTAATGAATGTGTCTATCAGTGATAAATTTATCACTAAATATGTCTTTGAATCTTTGTGTTGATTTGTGACGATGACGATGAGATTTTCTTTTTATAATTTTTTAACAAGCACTCAGTGAGAAATTTATGTGAATCTGTATATCAGTGATAAACTTATCACTAAATATGCCTTTGAATCTTTGTGTTGATTTGTAACGATGATGACAAGATTTTTTTTTATAATTTTTTTAACAAATAGTCAGTAAGAAATTTATCAGTGAATGTGTCTATTAGTGATAAATTTAACATTGAATATGTCTTTGAATCTTGTGTTGATTTATGACAATGATGACGAGATTTTCTTTTTGTAATTTTTTAACAAACAGTTAATGATAAATTTATCACTGAATATGTCTTTGAATTTTGTGTTGATTTGTTACGATGATAATGAGATTTCGTAATTTTTAACAAGCTGACAGTGGTTAAATTTATCACTGAATGTATCAGTCATAAATTTTTTTTACTAGATTTGTCTTTGATTCTTTGTGTTAATCTACAAATGTGAAGAATTTTTTTCCGGTAAGGATTCCTCATCTCTCTCCTTCATTTTCTTCCTCCATATTCTCCACTTTTTCTTTGGTGGCCAACTTGTTTGAGGAGGTATTGACCGTATTGACATGGTAGAGATGGAAAATGGTCACACAAAAAAATATTGTTAAAGTTCGGAGGTAGTTGCTGGAGGTTAGTAATAGTTGCCAACAATCAAAGATAAAGGCCAAAGGAGTCATCGGAAGTCGATGATGGTAGTCGGCAATCAGAAGTGGTCTTCGGTGACCGGTTAAGAGAGAGAAATTCGAATAGTTGGGACAGAGAGAAAGAGAGAGAGAGTAGAATGGTTAAGTGATTTCTTTATTTGGACTAAATGTCAAGGGTAAAATGGAAAGATGTGCTAAATCTTTTTAAATCAAGACCTCATAGGAATTAAGTTCGGTCCAAAAAACTGTCTTGTAACTCCCTTAAAAAAATACTCTAAAATAATTGGTTTGGATTATGAAAGTCAGCTGATGATGGGTTCAAGAGGGCAGGTCACATAGTGAGCTCTTCGTTTTTTCTTCTCTTTTTTTTTTGGGGGGGGTGTTCAAATTACGAGATTGATTGGTGCTGAGTCAATTCTTTTGTTTACACTCTTTAAAAAATATTTGAACAAAATACACATTTTGATGGCTATAAAATTATGGAGTCAACAAATTTTAACGAGAAAATTAATTATATAGACTAGGGGCGGTTTTGAATGATTTAAATAAGTGTACTTTTTTACTTTTTATGAAATATGAGTTGGGTATGTGTTGGGTTTGAAGTGATGTGATAGAGAGGGGGGTGTTCAAATTACGAGATTGATTGGTGCTGAGTCAATTCTTTTGTTTACACTCTTTAAAAAATATTTGAACAAAATACACATTTTGATGGCTATAAAATTATGGAGTCAACAAATTTTAACGAGAAAATTAATTATATAGACTAGGGGCGGTTTTGAATGATCTAAATAAGTGTACTTTTTGACTTTTTATGAAATATGAGTTGGGTATGTGTTGGGTTTGAAGTGATGTGATAGAGAGGTGATGTGACTTAAATAAGATGATGTGACTTAAATAGGATAGTGACTTTTTGACTTTTTTAGGACACTCCAAACAAGGCCTAATTGTTTGTTTGGCATGTGCTAATATTTTAGTAAATTATCTTATTTGGATCATTATCATTTTATTTAGGTCACATCACTTTTCTACCATATCACTTCAGACTCAACTCATATTTTACGTTTTTTCATAAAAAGTAAAAAAATATACTAATCTAGCACTTTCCAAATAACCCTTAAATTATGAGTAATATTGAGGATTATGAAAAAAATATTATGAAAATGATCATGAAAGATTTTTCATCTTTGAATTATACATATAATAAAATATCACACACGAATTAAAGAATAAAAAATCTTCATAATACATTTCGTGATATTTTTTTATGATTTTTAATATTATTCCTAAATTATGCACACTTTTGTCTGTATATAGCATGCGAACGAATTTATTTTCGATTGTTGCGTACATTGAGGATGTAAAAACACGAGCAATGGTATAGATTTAAAAAATAAAATAAAATAAAAAAATAAAATTAATAAATTTTTTATATAATATTTACATGGCGTGAAACACACATCTACTAGACTCACTCAGGTAAATATTAAACAAAATTTTTAATAGTTTTAATTTTTCTCTTTAAATTTCTAATATTTTTGAAACACGGGGAACGAGGGGGAGAGAGTCATTAAAGTGATGCGGAGGCAGAGAGAGAAGGTAAAGAGGAACCACCATTTGTACAGTACGTTATACAAGACTAGCTTTCACACTTAGTGACTTGGACGTGTCATCCAACCCTGTTTCTATACTGCTATATGTGTAAAAACTAGAGATTCTTCCCGAGTCCCTTTGGAAGAAAAAAAAACAAAAATAAAAACAAAAACAAAAGTTGCTGGCTTCTTTGAAGGTAAAGCTTCAAACCCCTCCTTTCCTTTCCCATAATATCAGTGGTTTGGTGGACAATGATTTGCTTCTTTCCCTCCTGGGACTTTGTATCAATTAATGCATGTAATATGCGTTTTTGAATCGTTGTATAGTAGTACAAGTCTTTCATTCTATTCAATATTCCTTCTGATTACTGTGGTATTTTTCACAGATCGTCTTTGATCCTAACAATAATATCAGTGGTTTGGTGGACAATGATTTGCTTCTTTCCCTCCTGGGACTTTGTATCAATTAATGCATGTAATATGCGTTTTTGAATCGTTGTATAGTAGTACAAGTCTTTCATTCTATTCAATATTCCTTCTGATTACTGTGGTATTTTTCACAGATCTTGCTTTAGATCTTTGATATACCCTTTCTGCAGAAAAAGTTTACTATATTCAATTGATGTTCCTATATTTTTCTATCATCACTAGTGAACATGTTGTCCTCTCCAGATCCTGCTAAATTCTTGATTTTTCCCCCCCTTCATATTTCTTCTTTCGTTTTTAAAATCGCTTTTTATTATATATGAATCTTCTTGCCTTGCAGTGATGGATACCTCACCGGCCAAATGGTTATCTGAAATGGTAGGCATAATTAATTATCTACATACAACCCGCAAGGGTAGCCCAGTTGGTTGAGGTCAAGGGACTTGGGGCCTAGGAGTTTGCTCCTCTATAGGTCTCAGGTTCGAATCCCACTTCCAGCTGTGCTCCTGGCGGGCCACTGCGTCTTTGCCTGGTCGATCGGCTCAGGGCCCCGAGATTAGTCGAGGTGCGACACTCCGAAGGAGTGCTGGCCCGGACACTCGGTCATCAAAAAAAAAAAAGTTAATTTAATCAATAATGCTGCATAGTCCCCCCTTCATATTTCTTCTTTCGTTCTTAAAATCGCTTTTTATTATATATGAATCTTCTTGCCTTGCAGTGATGGATACCTCACCAGCCAAATGGTTATCTGAAATGGTAGGCATAATTAATTATCTACATACATGTATACATAGTTTTTTGTGTGATCTTTTAATTAGAAATCAACAAAATTTTCCAATTTATATAGGGAATGGAAGAGCCTGCCGTAATCCACCAGTGTCAGATGAACTCACTTAATCACTCAGTCCATGAAATCATTTCTCTCTCATCTGAAACATACTCAACAACCTCCTACCCATATTTCTATCCCAAAAGCACACCCTTTCAGACTTCTCAGATGGCATCATCGATGATCGCAAAACCAGAAGCCAAACAGCTCAAGCCCAATGATTGGAACTCTCATAAGAATAATGAAAAATTCAAACCACCAAATCCGAAAGCTTTTTCTTCTTCCTCATCGTCGTCCAAGTTTATTTCTTTTGCTAACTCAAATGCAGCACCACCAGACTGTTCAAAGCAATTGCATGGAAATGTAAACTGCACATTGAAGAGCAAAGCTAACTCTAACACAAATATGAAGTTCTCGTTCATACTTTCTCAGAATTCCAATGAAATCCCATTGGAATTCGGTGGTGTGGAGACACAAAGGGTTTGCACCACTAACACCACCGCAACTAGGACTCCACTACAAGCTCAAGATCATGTTGTGGCGGAGAGGAAGCGCAGAGAAAAGCTGAGCCAGCGGTTCATAGCACTCTCAGCACTCGTTCCTGGCTTGAAGAAGGTACTTTTACATTACGTGTTTAGCCTATTTTAGAAGATGTGTTTTTTAAAGTGGTTGTTTCGAATTTGAAACTTGGGACTATGTGGGCTTGATTTGGATCTTGTAGTTTCAAATTTTGGATAGTTTCAAACTTGGGATTGCCATCGTTATTTTTTGTGATTGAATTTATAATTGGTAATTGGTTTTATGACTATAGATAATCCAGAACCCCATTTCATTTTCTAGTAAACTCTCGCATCTTGATGTAAGTTGCAGGATTCTCCTTTCCTAAACTCTCTCCCCATGTTTAAAAATATACCAATACCTATTGAATTAGTCCTACATGTAGGTAGACCCAAGCCTCAAATTCTCACATGATTCGATGAGGACGAAAGGATTTGAGGATTGACGTGGGTAGACCCATAAAGGCCATAACCCACTATGAACAACCCAAGCCTACCACTTAGGGCCCAGTATATAACCCAACTGATGAGGTCCAGCACAGCTGGAAGTCAACATGACATGAAGGACCAATGATATTCAGACACGTGGCAGGCAAAGGGCAAGCCACATCAGCAGACAAAGATTTGCAAAGTTATTGCCACTGCACATTGCCATTAATGCAGCCCCTCACAGCATTTATTACGACAACACCTCTCCGTCGGGACAGCACGCCCTCACCCTGAACAAGGTAAGCTACAGCATAGACTTTTGGTCAAGGTAACAGGTCGGAAAGGACAACGAAATAATTACCAAAGGATATAAGCAGACGTTGAAGACAAGAAGAAGGTTAAGCTTTTCTATCTCTAATTCATATCCCTACATCCCACTTCCTCTTCTTCTAACTTGCTCGTCGGAGGGTTCACTGCGGGACTCCTCGTTTCCCGTTGAACTCGTGTGCAGGTTCATTGGTGGGCTTGACCATCCAGATACCGGTTGGAGAAGCGTGGACCAGTCCGACCCATTCCATCTGGAACCCGTTATATCATAACAGCATCATCAGTTGGCGCCGTCTGTGGGAATGGCTTTGCTACGCGCGCCAGTTGTGCTCATTGTCGTCGAAGACCCTGTTCCAATAACCCTTTCCTACTACCTATCAAAGTGTATGGTCACGATTAAATCCATGGCTTCTCACCAAAATGTTGCCGATCACTATGTCGACCCCCCCAATCCAAACAACCCACCACAGTATTTCATCGAGCTTACCAACAGCATTAACTGCATGGCCGAGCAAAACCAAGCCCTGATTAATGCCCTACTCCAAAGAAACCTTCCAATGCCTCCTCCACCACCTCCAGATATTTCGCCCAACCAAGAACGAGCCCCGAGCCATACTATCCCGCAGCCTTATCCACCCAACTTGGAAGGCTTGCAACCTCCTCCTCCTAATATAAATCCACCATCCCGACCCCTGCATCCATCGGTCCTGGCACCAGCCCCTGAAGGGGAAGCTAGTAGCGTCCAACCCCCGTTGCCTTTCGGTGGTGATAACATCCCTCTTATCCAGCATAAACCCTCCACCACTGCAAACTCACCCTTTGTTGCCTCCATCCGAGACAAACCCCTACCCTCCAAGTTCAAGATGCCCACCATCGACTCTTTTGACGGTACGACGGACCCAGTTGACCATCTGGAGACCTACAGAACCCTCATGATCCTCCATGCATTCCCTGACGAGATCATGTGTCGAGTTTTCCCCGTGACACTGAAGGGGTCAGCTCGGCTGTGGTTTAGCCAGTTACCAGCAGACTCTGTCTCCACTTTCCAGCATCTCAGTGACTCCTTCCTCAGCCATTTTATTGGAGCCCAGCGCCAACGCCGTCTGGCAACCCAACTCCTTAACATCCGCCAGACCGAGGGGGAGTCCCTGCTCAGTTTCGTTACCCGCTTCAACATCGAAGCCTTGCAGGTGGCGGAAAACGATGATAAGGTCATCCTTACGGCTTTCATCGCCGAACTACGGTCGTCTGATTTCTTTTTCTCCCTCTCTAAAAACCCCCCACCTCCATGGCAGCCCAACTCTCCAAAGCCCAAAAATACATGAACGTAGAAGATTCCCTAGCCGCTCGCCAAGACCCTACAGCAAAAAATCCGACCCCCCGAGAAAAGTAAAAAGACTCAGAAACCAGAAACACCCAGTGCAATAACCAAACACCCCACTATACTGACCAACCCCTCAGAGCTGACCGGACGACACCAGCCCGACCGCCAGGTCGGTTCGAACGGTACACACCCCTCAATTCCCCCATGGAACAAGTCCTCAATCAGATCCAGTGGGACTACCCCTCAAATGGCCCCAACCATCACAGACTCCTTCCAATCGGAAAGACCAGTCCAAATATTGCTATTTTCACTAGGATCACGACCATAATACCGAGGAGTGTGTTAACCTCAAAGATCAGGTCGAGGGCCAGATTCGCCAAGGACGCCTCAGCCGATTCACGGATACTCACCCTTCGCAGAGGAAAATGACTGAGCCCATCAGAAACAACCATCGGCGCACTCCTTCTCGGCAGCCAGCCCAACCTAACCAAGGCCACGATCGCCCTCCACAGCAACCTCGGGCACAAGGTAATCCAGCCCCACCTGTTAGAGAAATCAGAGTTATTTCCGGCGGGCTTGCCTGTGGAGGACCATCTCGCTCGGTTCAGCGGGTAGAACTTAGGAAAATAAGGCAAGGCTCAGACAAAGAAGTTGCCACATTGGATTGACCCTTCAAACAGCCCAAACAGTGGACGGAACCTGTCACCTTTACGGACGCCGACTGCACCGGCATCCGTTACCCTCATGACGACCCTCTCGTCATCTCTACCATCCTCTCCAACTACAAGGTTAGACGGGTTCTCATCGATAATGTCAGTTCCTCCGACATCATTTTCTTAAATTGCTTCCGCCAGCTTAAGATCGGAGAAGAAAGCCTATCCCCCCTCCAAACTCCATTGGTCGGTTTTACTGGTGATCAGGTGACCTCCATCGGCTCCATCGATCTTCCCCTCACAATCAGAGAATACCCCAGGCAAACCACAAAGCTGCTCACCTTCCTGGTTGTCGATTGCCTCTCTGCTTACAACATCATCCTTGGCTGCACCGCCCTAAACGCCTTCCAAGCCATTACCTCCACCTTCCACCTTGCCGTCAAGTTCCCCACTGACCTTGGGGTCGGCACAGTGAGGGGGAGAGCAGACTGTGGCCAGAGAATGTTATGTCGCCTCACTCAAAGAAGTCAAGCTGAAGGAGGCTATGATCATTGAAGGACTCGATGTCAGAGACGAAGACGAGCTGGTCAAAGGGAAACCAGTGGAGGAGCTCGTCGAAGTCCTCGTCGACCCAGCCAACCCGGCCAAAAGCGTCAAGATCGGCAGCCTACTATCCCCCCAAGCCAAGGCCGACCTCACCGTCCTCCTAGTTGAGCATAACGACGTGTTTTCCTAGAATCACTCCGATATGTCGGGTATTGATCCCTCCTTCATCAGCCACTGTGCCAGTGTTGAGCCCTATTTCTGACCTGTCCGTCAGAAGCAGCGCATTTTTCACTCAGAATGCAATAACCTTATTACTTCTGAAGTAAACAAACTCCTTGAGGCACAGTTTATCACTAATGTGGACTACCCCAGATGGCTGTCGAATGTGGTTCTGGTTCACAAAAACAATGGTAAATGGCGACTCTGTGTCGACTACTTCGACCTCAACCGAGCTTGCCCCAAAGACAGCTACCCTTTGCCTCGCATAGATCTGCTGGTCGACGCCACTGTCGGTCATCAAATGCTCAGTTTCATGGATGTGTTCTCTAGGTACAACCAAATCGTGATGCACCCATCTGACTAGGAGCACACCTCCTTCATTACCGACCTCGGTACCTACCATTACCGTGTGATGCCATTTGGACAGAAAAATGCTGGGGCCACCTACCAACGGTTGGTCAATGCTGTCTTCCATCATCAGATTTGTCGGAATATGGAAGTATATGTCGACGACATGCTAGTCAAGAGCAAACTCTCCGCTGATCATCTGACCGACCTGCGAGAGACCTTCGCCACCCTACGAAAGTACCAAATGAAGCTCAACCTAGAGAAGTGCGCCTTCAGCGTAGGATTTGGGAAGTTTTTGGGTTTCATGGTTAGTCAGCGGGGCATTGAAGCCAACCCTGAAAAGATCAAGGCCTTGATTGAAATGCAGTCACCCAGAACGGTTAAGGAGGTTCAAAGACTCATTGGCCGAGTTATCACCCTCAACCGCTTCATCTCCCGCGCAACGGATAAGTGCCTCCCCTTTTTCAAAGTTCTTCGGCAAACTTTTGAATGGACGACCGAATCCGAAGAGGCTTTTCAGCAGTTGAAACAGTGCATGGCCAACCCCCTTCCTTTCACAGGCAATCACGGGCGAACCCCTTTTCCTCTATTTAGCCGTGTCAAGCACCGCAATCAGTGCAACTCTTATCAGGGAAGACGGCTCTGTCCAACGGCCGGTCTACTACATCAGTCGGGCTCTTAGAGGAGCGGAGCAGAATTACCCACTGCTAGAAAAATTGTCCTTGGCCTTGGTCACCACCTCCAGATGACTTCGTCCTTACTTCCAAGCCCATTCTATAGTGGTCCTCACCGACCAACCCTTGAAGAAGGTAATGCAGCAACTAGAACTCTCCGGCAGACTCATGCAGTGGTCAGTGGAACTTAGCCAGTTTGACATCTCTTGCCAGCCTCGAACAGTGATTAAAGGGCAGGCTATCGCCGATTTCATCCTGGAATTCACTAATCCTACCCCAACCACGACCCCTCCACCCCCACCAACCCCTACCGACCTAGAAGATCCTCACTCTTGGACTCTCAACGTCGACGGATCATCTCGCAGGGAAGGCAGTGGGGCTGGTCTCATTCTCACCGCCCCTGAGGGTGGTTATTTCAAATATGCTCTCCGTTTCTTGTTCGAGGCCAGTAACAATGAGGCTGAGTATGAGGCATTGATAGCAGGTCTCCGCCTAGCCAAGGATATTGGTGTCAGCCACATCCAGGTGTTCAGCGACT